GAGAGGACGACTTGCGATAGCTACAAATCTGCATAGTGTGCTGGCAGTTGCCAACTTAGGAGTAATAGAAGGGTCCCAGATTGCGTGATTAGGCAACGACTCTCCCATTCTCCCATAGTCCCTTGAAACATTAGCGGCTCGATATTCGTCGATGGTCGTGTTGCCTTCTATAGCACCGAGACGCCGTCACGCTGTCATTACGTCATTGTGGGGTCTAAAGACAGCCTCACGTACGCCCCTTCAGACGCTGTGATATGAACAACATATCGGTCTTTGGACCGTGGTTTCCTGTGCTCAAAGGAAAGATGGGCAACTCACTGCATGACAATTTTCAGGTGAAAATAATTACATACCTAATGTCCTAAAATACTCAAGAATACGCCTTTCTTCTGGATGTTTTGTCTCAACATAACCCTGTAAAACATTGGCTTTTCTATCGTTACTATAATCAGCTTGGTGAGTTCGCATGGTGCAGTGGCATTGGCTGCGTTTTTTTGAATGAACTAATAGTACTTTGTTCGAATGATTTTGATAGTAACTTAATAGGGAGGGGGTTTTTGCACCTTTGCCTTTTTTCATCCACGTGTCGAGCCATCGAGAGAGCCTCACGAGAGTTGACAGGTTTATCATGGATGGCTGGACGAGCTTGCTCCAGCTACACAAGAGTTCACAGGTTTCACCAGAGTGAGACTTAACCGGAACTAGTGAAGCTGCGAAAGGTGCAAAATGTCCCTTGCCTCCCTCCCCCCCCCAACCTGAACAATAAGCGAAAAAACACTCACCATAATGATTGTTGCTTCTAGGCGTAGGCATATTATCCAAAGTTCAACAGAATAGAGCAAAGAACGATGACAATCCTAGCCGTCACATCAATTTTTCACGTATTCCAGGAATCCTTGTAACATACAACGGCAAATGATTTCTGACAAGAGTGAGTTGAGTGAAAAACTTTTTATGCGTTGTATCTCAGAGAAGGGCAACACTCCGCAAGTTCAGGCAGGTCATCACACGCTGTCTGAGACGGTATCCTGTCGAGAGGAAGGATAAGGCTTGTTGGACTGGCATGTTTAGGGAGGGTCTTGTGGCTAAGACAATTTGTAATGTGGGGCGGCGGGCGGGGCGTCAGCCCGCGAAGCGTCGGCACGCGACGAATGAGTTGTTTTGCTGGTAGTTTTGATTGTGGAAGGATCAAAGGAGGGGAGACTCGCTACTCGTGGAGTCTTCTCTTGGCTAAAACTCTACGATTTTACGACTGAAGGTTAGAATTTACTGTCCGTAAACATCTACATTTGCTACGCGTCGCCGCACGAAAACGGACCGAGGCAGACCCGCAGCCCTATTATATTTGTCTTGTCAGTCTACATAATAGATTGCCCAAAGCATGATAGAAACAGTTACGTAAACTGCGATTTTAACTTCGAGATCGCGTCTTAGCGCGAGTCGGCCTTTTATACGCTCGCGTGTCACGATTCAAGATTGACGCCTTTTCTAGGCCGAATATCTCGTCCGAATCACTGATCTGCTAAGTGTGCTTGGCTGTCTACGTAGAGCAGTTAAACTGAGCTTCGGTGCATTTTCTCAACGTTTGGAATGGGCGGCGGCAGGTGATTGCAGCACCGTTTCCGTCGCAGAAATAGCGCTGCACACCTCACTGGCCCATACGGTCCCGTCTTTTTACCCCGCCACTCACGATTTGCAGTCGCGGCACGAGTTTTCGAGGGTTACGCTAGCAAGTAAGTCATACCTTCTCGGTTATCTATTTCTCGGTTATCCTTCACTTTTTTGGATTCGTCAGGTTCTGGGTTGATATCGTCGTAGATTTCACAAAATACTGGCTGGATATGGGGTATCTGAACAGAAAAGTTGCCATTCGGGAAAGACTCTCCCATATCCTTTTCGGGAACAGCTGTTGTAAAGGTTCCAAACGGTGTATTGTACTTTTCCCAGCAAAACTAATGATTATTCCAGGAGCAGTGCACGATTACCTAACATGCCCTCTTCGTGTAAGGTGGCGGAGTCCGCAGCAGCAAAACATCTGCCTTAGAGCGCCTGGTAAGGTCTGGCACAATATCGAGCTCCCCCCTAAATATCGAACACCGCCCTTACTACTTCATTCATGGCGCCAGCATGAGGCCAACTCGACGCCAGTTTGAATCCTACCGCTGCGCGTTCCACCGATTAGCTATAGAGCGCCTTCAGTCGTGGTCGCGGATTCAAAGGATAGGATCGCGAAGTATGAACGCGCTGTTAGTATCATGTCGACGTTTGCTCAAATATTGCTTAGAACCAAGAGGTGGTGATGGTGAGGATGTCTCTGATGGGTTTTCGCTAGCTTTCCTACTTCATTATTGGATTGCTTAGCCCCTTGCATTTGTATTTGAGCCACTTTTTCCCTCACTTTGTAGTGGCGTAGTCCCGTAGAAGCGTAGTCCAATGATTTGCCAACGTCGTCTGGGGCAAATAAGCACCCTACAGTTGGCAACATGCCAAGGTTTATGAAACTAGTAAAAGGTATTCCCTCACATCGTTTTTTCCACGGAACCATTTTCTTTCCACAAGAACTTGATCTCCGTCGCGCTTGAACCGGTAATATGCACAGCACATTTGGTAATCTTCCTGTGGTATCTTCTTAAATGAAAATTCTGTGAAAGATTTCTCAGTACCGTCGCCATTCGAAGCAAAGCTGCTGTTCTCGGATCTGGGGAGGGGGGGGGGAGACAACCCGCACTCTGCGTTAGTTCTCCTGCTCGTTTGTCGTCAACGAACTGCACTCTAGGCCATGATACTGAGAAACCCGTTGCAACTTATGCGAATGGAAAACATCTTCATTATCGTGGAAATGAAGCGGGCTCTGCTGTATCCATTCAAGCCTGGTAAGGCTGCGTTCGTACCTTGCGGGAGCGTCCACTAGCTTTTCGAGAGTCCGGCAGCCAGCGACTGGAAGGTATAGATATCGATCTAGCGTTCACCAGCGTCTACCAGCGCGCACTAGCGTGCCCCAGGTCCGAGAGTAGGCAGAATATGGCGCGTAAGGAGGACAGCAGGACAGGTGGTCGGTAGAGTCTACAGGGTGACCAAAAAGTTCTGGCAATTTCGTGCTTGTGCGTTTTTGAATGGCCATTATGGTCTGTTTTCTCTCCGATAGGTTATTTGTATTCCGCAAGCCATTTCGAACTACCGTACGAGTCATCTATCCAATCACTTTCGATTTCTCCTCGCACTGTCTCGAAAAAATCAAAAAGTTGCAGTTGTTGAAACCCATCTTCTGGTCGGTGCTTGTTGCTTGAAGAATGTGCTCGCCACCGACGAGAAAAATTTTCGATCACAACTACCGGAATTGTTGTCTGCTCCTCAGAAAAGGTCAACAGAAGGCAACGGCTGTGAAATCCGTCGGACGCAGACTCAGCCTCAGTCACGGTCTGAGGCGGGATCTGTGCCACCGGAAAGACCTCTCATTTCTTCATCGAGCGCATCGTAAAGATTAATGCTGTCTACTCCCAACAACGCGTTCTCCGCGATGTACTGAAGCCATGGGTGTCGTAGCACTTCGGCCCGGATGGACACTGTTCAGCAAGACTGTCAGCCAGCCACATCTGCCAAACCCACGAACTGCCGTGTGGAGAGCTTGTTTTCCCGATTTTGCGGGCAGACGTTTTGGGCCTTACAACTAGCATGGTCCGAACCCATGGATTATTCCATCTAGGTCGAAAAATCTCAGGAATTCGATGCGCAACGGTTTACCACCTGAAAGTGGCGTTGCTGCGTGTTTAGGACCAAACTACAGCAGAAGAATGCGCGACCATTGTCGGACACTTTGGAAAACGACTACGTAAATGTGTTGAGGCTGAAGGAGGCATTTTTGAACACTTGTTGGAACTTTGTTGTATACGGTCATTGTACTAATGAATTAGAATGCAAAGAGACTCCCAGACGTTTAGTTGGCTGATTTCCTTTTTCGAACGGTATTTTTTATGCTACCGAAGTATTCCGAAAAATTGCCAGAACTTTTTGGTCACCCTGTATATACATAGGGGGTAGCAGGACGGCTGATAAAAGAGTTTATGGTCGCAGTAGGAGGTACGCACACAGCTGGTAGAGATATGGCGCGATAGGAGGGTGGTACCAGCTGCCTGCAGGCCCCAAGACGCTGCTGACGCTGGTAAACGCTGGCAAACGCTGAGAGACACTAGGTCACAGTGATGCGCACGCGAAGCTAGATCGATAAACATACTTTCCCAGTCGCTGACGATGCCGCAAAGTTATGAACGTAGCCTGACGGTTGCGTTTCTGGTGGGACATTGTCGTTCTGAAACGAGTCCAATCATGCCCTTGTCGAGCAGTGGACATGATGACAGCTATTCCAGGAATCATCTCACAACAAATGCATCCTATGCCATGTTGACACGAAGTACGTAGTCACGACCTCCTCATGTTCGCTGTGAGGAGTGTGCAATTGAGCCACTCGAGGTGCAGGAATTCACAGGTTTTCATGACGTGGCGAGTACGAGCCACCATTAGCTGCCCCACCAAGCCGAACGGCACCGTACGACGCCCATTCGAACGAAAATTATATGCGTACCGGTACACCGTCGTAATCGTCGTAGCATTTCGTAGTTCCAGCCAACGGGAGGTGAATCACAACTACGATTGACCATACAAAAATGTCTGAATAAAGGTGCATGATTTTAGCTTGGACTTGACTTGCGATTTTGAGCACAAGACCTCTTTGGAGGTTCAGGAAGTTGTAAGAGGTTAGCATATCACCTAGCCTAGCTAGTTGCTGACTAGTGACAGAAAAGGCAGCTCACCTTGTGATATGGATGGGAGCAGCAGCATCCCACTTTCAAGGTATTGAAGTGAACAGAAAGTAGCCAGCCGTTGGGACAGCCACAGCTACAATCAGCTCACAGTAGCAGCCTTAAACTCCCCGTTTCTTGGAATTTGTAGATCAAAATGAACCATCCTCAAATTCGGTTGCACACTAGGCGCTTATCTGAAAATTCACATATCAACAAATGATAGTAAATACAGTAAGAATTGGTGATACCCATGATGTAACCTTCATATTTGCATACGCTACCTTACACGCAATACCCCTGCAGTAAATGGCAACTTTAGAGATGTACAGTCATAATCCCTGCAAATGATGGGGCGTGCGACGAGGGCGTGGTGTCGGGCGCAGCCACGACAGATTTTCCCCCAATTGTAGGGAATCAGGATTGCATCATTTGTGAAAAAAGGCGCCTCGGCACGCAGGCCCTATCGCTGGCAGGCATTAAGACTGTAGTTCAACGTACCCGGCTTGCAGCGAAGGTGGCGGAAGCAGTACCCAAGCGCGGCATTTGCACCCTCGCGCATAGCGTTGTCTGGAGCGTCGTGGGGTGATTTCCTGTGCTCTTGCCGGGAATTTGTTGTACGTCGGATCCTGCTGTTTAGGCTTGCCGACGTCCGACAAACTTGTCCAAGGC